TGTGTGAAAATATGAGAGAGTGTGTGTGTGTGTGTACCCGAGTATGTGTGTGTGAAAATATGAGAGAGTGTGTGTGTGTGTGTCAGAGAATGAGAGTGTGTTTTGTGCACATGTTTGTGTTTATGCAGTGTGCATGTGTGTGTGCCAAAGAATGAGTGTTTTGTGTGCGTGATTGTGTTTTTGCAGTGTGTGTGTGTGTGTGAGCCAGAGTATAAGTGTGTGTGCAAAAGAATGTGAGTGTGTGTGTGCCAGAAATTGAAAGTGTGTTTGTGTTTTTGCAGTGTGTGTGCGTTAGAGAGCGAGTATGTGCACCTGAGCATGTGTGTGTGTGCCAGAGAATGACAGTGTGTTTTGTGCGCATATTTGTGTTTATGCAGTGTGTGTGTGTGTATGTGCCAAAACTATAAGTGTGTGTCAGAGTGAGAGAGTGTTATGTGTGTATGATTGCGTTTATGCAGAGTGTATGTGTGTGTGCAACAGAATGAATGTGTGTTTGTGTGCATGTGTTGGTGCAATTTAAAAAAATCTCAGTAAGACTAAAAAGCCTCAATAATATGTAAATGCTGATTTTAGCGGTGTGTGTGTGTGTGTGTGTGTGTGTGTGTGTGTGTTTGTGTGTTTACACTGCTGTTGACTGAGGTGAAATCAGTTCTGGACATGTGAAGAGTGAAGGTGTGTGAGGATGTTCAGGGATGATTTATCAGCAGTAAAAGCTCTTAACTCGCCTGCTGACCGCAGTAAAACACACAGCGCCAGTGCTCTGATCAATAGGCCTCAGTTTACAGCAGCAGCAGCAGCATTTCCTACTCAACAGCGGCTGAAACGGCCCTCAAACTACAACAGCGGCTTCACACACACAGTCACACACACTGATATATACTCAACTCATATAGAAACATTCATTCATTTTCCTTCAGCTCAGTCCCTTTATTTATGAGTGGTTGCCACAGCGGAATGAACCACCAACTATTCCAGCATATGTTTTACAGAGCGGATGCCCTTCCAGTCGCAACCCAGTACTAGGAAACACCCATACACACTCATTCACACACTCATTCTGAAGGATCATGTAACTGGTGATGAGCTAATGCTGAAAATACAGCTTCACATCGCTGAATTAAACGACACTTGACTGAGTATTACTGTCACACAATCTTATCTAACGACAGTGTTTTAGATCTGGTGTATCAGGCTTAATAAGCACAAGAGGCTTTATTGAACAACAGACCGACCCAAACACTGGAACAGTGGCGACTCGAGAACTGACAGTGAATAAATCAGATGCTGACTCAGCATTCAGACACGCTTCATCATCTGAACACACACACACACACACACACACACACACACACACACACACACACACACACACACACACACACACACACACAGACACACACTTACAATCATCCACAGACCTTCACTCACATTCAGCACAACTGCAGAGTTCAGAGAGTTCATGAGTGAGACCTTCACTGCAGACCATATCCACACATGAAAAGAAAACACTTTGTGCGTGCACGCGCACACACACACACACACACATATATATATTTGCACATGCATGTAAAGATACACACACATGCAAACACATTCATGCATACACGGACAGACATATGCACTCAGTCTCACACACACACACACATATGCACAGACACACATTTCCCAGTATTGGAAAGGGCATCCGCAGTGTAAAACATATGCTGGAATAGTCGGCGGTTCATTCCGCTGAGGCAACCTCTGATAAATAAGGGACTGAGCCGAAGAAAAATAAATGAATAACTTATTTTCATGATCTGGCTTTTGGAGTAACTCTAGCTTCAGTGTTCTGCTATGACAGTGTCCAAACTCGGTCCTGGAGAGCCAGTGCCCTGCTGAGTTTAGCTTCAACTTGCTTTAACACAGCTCCCAGGAGGATTCTAGTTCATCTAGTTTATCTAGTAAGAGCTTGATTAGCTGGGTGAGGAGTGTCTGATTAAGGTTGGAGCTCAACGCTCCAGGACTGAGTTTGCACCCCCCTGTGCTATGAGAAATAACAACTGTAGATCAGGAAATGACCCTTGAACCACAACTTAAAAGGACCGTTCACCTTAAAAATGATCATTTACTCACTATTTACTCTCCCTTAAGTGGTTGCAAACCTTTTCCTTTATTCCACTGAACACAAAATAAGATGTTTTGAAGAAAACCTGTAACCATTGACTTCCAACAAATACTGTGGAAGTCAACAGTTTCCAGCATTCTTCAAACTATCTTATTTTGTGTTCAACAGACTCTCATAAAGCTTTGAAACAAGTAAAAGAGGAGTCGATTATGGCAGAATGTTCATTAGTGGCTGAACTGTTGCTTTAACTATAAATAAAGACCTGCCGAACACACAAGCGCTGCTGCTCAGTGCTCACCTCTTGAAGGTCTCTGCCGGGTTCCTCTCACACTCTCCTGGCTGCAGTGCACTCTGGATCGCCGGCTCTCTCAGTTTCTCCTCGTAATCCGGGACTAGTCCAGATCGGCAGATCTGGGCCACCAGACCTCGAACGAACCCACTGACGCACAGCGTTTCGGCGTCCTCGGCCCGGCAGAAGTGGAAGGCCAGGCAGTGCTGGTGCAGGCCACGGTGGAGCCCGTGAGCAGAGCTGGGCCACAGTAACTCTGAACACAGAGCTGTTTTCCCACTTCCTGGACCACCAACCAGCAGGACGCCCCATGAGCTGCTCTTCCCAGCCCCAGATGGAGGCCCGGCGGTGGGCTGGATCGGCTCCTGGGCTCCCGGTGCACTCAGACTGCTGGTTTTCTCCTGAATGCAGTGCTGGATCTTGTGGAAAACCCACTCGCGGCAGTAGAAGCGCTTGCCCTGCAGCAGGCTCGTCTGAGCCATGATCCGAGTCGATTGCGATGCTCAAACCGATGGTCAGACGCTTCTGGGCATGCTCAAACCCTCAGAGGGCGTCTGCGCAGACACCCGTTCACCATGAGGAGGAGTCCCGGACTCTACAGGGCCAGATCTGCATCACATCCATCCAGATCTCTCATGGTGAGGCTCTAACGGCTGATGAAACACCCTGAAACAAACAACACACACAGCATTATAGGCTGTGTTTCAGTGTAAACATCCAAACGCTTGGATTCATGTGCGCGTGCATGGGTGCAAACTAATCTAAACAAGTTCATGCACAGACTTTAAATGATGATATATTGTGCAACCCTAGTAGAGACTTGAATTTAATATGATTTTATCTAAAAATATCAGTAACATTCATTTCTCTGTTGACATTTTCAGTTGGTTATGATGGCAATAGGTACACCACACACAGATATACAAACAAACTCAGTAAAACCATAAAGCATATACATAATAGACAATCATTTAAGTTCAGAATGCATTTTAAGGGCATATTATATTGTAAATCCAGCATTTGATTTAATTCCTGGCTTCTGATTTGTGTGCATTTAATTAATCCATCGTCATCATCTTGCGTTTGGAGTAACCCTAGCTTCAATGTTCTGCTTGAACATGCTTTGAGGTGCTTTATATCTAAAAACATTACCAACATGCATTTCTCCGTCTACATATTCAGTTGGTTCTGATTCCCAGAAGAATGCACGGACCCGATGAACAGCATACACACTGAATGCAACACGATTTTAAGCTGCTTTAGATAAAACATTAATTGACATATAAGATGTTTTCAGTTTGCTTTAATAGGGTACAACTTTTTCCATAGCCAAAATTCTCCAACAGCCTCCATCATAAAGCAACACTTCTCACCAGTAAATAAGTCACATTTTGACTTTATCTCTATGCACACTGAGCGAGTGCCATCCTGTAGTGTTCTGCCTACCTAGACAGCATCTCTGGCATCACACACACACACACACATGCAGCAAGCGCTCTGGCCAGCATTCAAAAGAGCAACGAACGTCTCAAACATATGCAAACACTGATCCATCTGTGAGACCGGCAGCAAAACCAAAAATACCAGACCAGCTCGTGAGTCAGCAGCAATCTGGGCAGAATTATAGGTAGGAATATAGATTTGTGATGTTCTAAAAAGTTATGTTGCACTCGTATATTTTTTTGGCAAAAGCATTGGTTTTTATGGCCAAAAATAAAATTAGGATATTAAGTAAACATCATTACATGAAGATTATTTAGCAAATTTACTACTGTAAACACGTCAAAACTTCCTTTCTGATTAGTAATGTGCATTGAGAAGCAGACAAACACAGACAACTTTAAAGGTGATTATCTCAATAATTAGATTTATTTACACACTCCAGATTTATCGAAGCAAAATATTTTTTATATTTTTATCTAAATTTTTTTTATAATTTTATATTTTATTTGTTTGCACCCCCCAGATTTATTTCTGCCAAATATTATCCTAACAAATATTTTTTTTTACGTTGCATCGCTATTTCTTTTTTTGCGATAGGCAAAAATGCACATCCAGGCCAATAAAATAATTGTGATATTAGGTAAAGGTCTTGTTTTATAAACGTATTACATCAATACTTACTTTCTGATTAGTAATGTGCATTGCTAAGCACTCGATTTAGACAACGTTAAAGGTGATTACCTTAATATTTAGATTTGTTTGCACCCTCCAGATTTGCTAAACAGCTTTATCTCTGCCAAATATTATCCTAACAATAAAAAACATGATATATATTTTTGGAAATAGCCAAAAACTGATTTAGTTATTTATTTTATGACAAAATAATAGTCGGATATTAAGTAATGATCATGTTTCATGAAGATGTTTTGTAAATCTGTTACTGTAAAAACTTATTTCTGAAAACATGCATTGCTCTTCACTTAGACAAGTTTAAGGCGATTATCTCAGTGTTTAAATTTGCTTGCACCCTTTACATTTTCAAACAGTTTTATCTCTGCCAAATATTGTCCTAACAAACAAGACATCCATGGAAAGTTTGTTTATTAAGATTTCATGTTTTGAAAAATAGACTTACAACTGGTGTTCAAGCAGTCAAGAGGGCCACAATAATATTGGATGATGCCTATATGTATGGCACGAGGCCAATGTTTCCTAATGGACTGTCGCTAATAATACCAACAAACTCAATCTCCAAAGTGAACCACAGTTACTACTGTAAAATCACTGTAAACACTGGACTTCCCCAAAATAGTGACATTTATTCCCATTAATTTGGAAAACAACAGCCGTGAGCATTTAGTTAATAGAGATTTGCTGTGCAAGAGTAAGCAGAGCAGTTGTTAGCTATAAGTGAATTGTTTTGACGGAAACTTTGAGAGGTCTTGGGTTTAAATCCCCATCAAAACAAAGGCCTTCAAACACAAACCAGAAGGCGACAAAACAACCTCCAGTATCGGGTCACATGTAGCCGAGCAGAACTGAGGTAAAGTCGGTTTTATATTCGCACAATCCTTCATTTTTGAACATGTTGTGTCACAATCCCTATATTTGTACTTTGAATATTGGCTCTGTAAATATGACTTCAACACCACATTAGCACTATTTAACTGACTGTGAACAATGTTGTACTTCAATAGTCATTGGCTGCTTATATCATTTCACCATTTAGTATTGAGCAAAGAACACTTGTGTGAAATTAGTCTATATTATTAGGAAATACCGAATGTGTGAATATAAAAGCAACTTTACCTCAATACATACAGCCATCCCGAGCTCCGCCCGTCCCGGGTGACAAAGACTCTCAGCGCACACACATATGCACGCACACACACACTTCAGTTTCCCTTTAAAAACATGCAGTTAATTCGTGTCGGTTGAATTGACGGTTGTTCTGGCCGTTTGCTTTTAACGCGAGCAACGCGACGCAGCGGAACGCGTGCGTTATATTCAGCAACAAGCGTTGCGTTGATCATAATGGAAGCGTTCCAGCTCGTCGCGTCGCGTCACTCGCGTTCAGTATACGCTGCGACTCTGAGGAACTTCATCTGAATGCGGTAAATACCTCGTAAATCTCTCACCTCCGGCGCCTCCGTGCGCGCAGATTTCATGTCTCCTCCACACCGAAACTCTCTCGCGTCGGTTTTCTGTCGTTATTTCCAAGCGCGAATCTTCCGTTCACATTTTCCACTCGGTTTGTGTGTCGGTTTGTTCTGTGAGCTCCTCCCGCAGACTGACGCTCCGCCCACTGAGGGTGACGAGCGCGTGCAGAATGATGGGACATGTAGTTCTATCCTATATTCTGGAGGAATGCGCATTAAAAATGTCATAATACCGCTATAAAATGATTGTTTTATTTGTCATACAGCCTTAAAAATAGGCCTACATAAAATTACACACTTTAATAAGGTTAAAAAGGTTAATAATAATATAGTGCCACACACATTGCTCACATGATATCAATTATGAACCAAAGCAGTGAACTAGGAGGAGAACTACAACATTAGCTGGGACTCGAATCAGCGATCTTCTTGTTCTGAAGTCACAATGCTAACCACTGAGCCACCATAACGCCCTATAATACACAACATTATTGTTTAGATATGACTCGATATCATTTGTGTGACTGATATCAGTAATGAGTCATGATTACTTTTTTCCTCTGAATTCATTTATTTTTATTCTCAATCCTTTTGCTACGGTTTTCTTCTTTTGTTAGTCAGTTTTGATGAAACAAGTTCATTAATTAATTTTTTTCCTAAATTTTTTTTTTTTTACTATTTATTTATTTATTTATTCTCTTTATTTTTACTTTTTTTAATTTATTGAGTTTTATCAAAGGGCGAGGCAGTGGCGCAGTAGGTAGTGCTGTCGGCTCACAGCAAGTAGGTCGCTGGGTCGCTGGCTCGAACCTCACTTCAGTTGGCGTTTCTGTGTGGAGTTTGCATGTTCTCCCTGCCTTCGCGTGGGTTTCCTCCGGGTGCTCCGATTTCCCCCACAGTCCAAAGACATGCGGTACAGGTGAATTGGGTAGGCTAAATTGTCCAGTGTGTGTGGATGTTTCCCAGAGATGGGTTGCGGCTGGAAGGGCATCCGCTGCGAAAAAACTTGCTGGATAAGTTGGCGGTTCATTCTGCTGTGGCAACCCCTGATTATTAAAGGGAAAGCCGACAAGAAAATGAATGAATGAGTTTTATCAATTGTATTCAGGAATAGGAGAACAAACATGACTTTATTCTCAAAACCTTATGAATTATTTTCAGATGAAACTATTTAGGGCAGCACGGTGGCACAGTGGGTTGCACAATCGCCTCACAGGAAGAAGGTTGCTGGTTCGAGTCCCGGCTGGGTTAGTTGGTGTTTCTGTGTGGAGTTTGCATGTTCTCCCTGCATGTGTTTCCCAGTACTGGGTTGCAGCTGGAAGGGCATCCGCTGTGTAAAACATATGCTGTAATAGTTGGCGGTTCATTCTGCTGTGGCAAATGAGGGACTAAGCAGAAGGAAAATGAATGAATAAATGTTTGAATAGGAACAGTCGCTGGAATAGTTGGCGGTTCATTCCACTGTGGCGACCCCTGATTAATAAAGGGACTAAGCTGAAAAATATATACAGTTGAAGTCAGAATTATTCGCCCCCTTTGATTTTTTTCTTTTTTAAATATTTCCCAAATGATGTTGAACAGATTCAGGAAATGTTCACAGTGTGTCTGATAATATTTGTTCTTCTGGAGAAAGTCTGATTTGTTTTATTTGGGCTAGAATAAAAGCAGTTTTTAATTTTTTAAACAGCATTTTTAGATCAATATTATTAGCCCCTTTAAGTTTTCGATAGTCTACAGAACAAACCACAGTTATACAATAACTTGCCTAATTACCCTAACTTTACCCTGATTACCCTAGTGAAGCCTTTAAATGTCACTTTAAGCTGTATAGAAGTGTCTTGAAGAATATCTAGTCTAATATTATTTACTGTCATCATGACAAAGAGAAAAGACATCCGTTATTAGAAATTAGTTGAAGAAATCTGCTCTCCATTAAATAGAAATTGTGGAAACTAATAAACAGGGGGGCGAATAATTCTGACTTCAACGGTACATGAGACAATCAGCGCATGTTCACCATTCAGAGCGCTAAAGATCTGAGAACATGTCTGTCTGTGTGTGTTCATCTCTGAGGCGTCACTGCAACTGTAGCTGTTCTGCTGTTTGTGACCTGTGAGCTGTAAAGGTCAGAGGTTAATGATGCTCTGACCTTTAACTTCTGTGGTGTCACCAGCGCTGTTAAAGCAGAAAACCTTTGTGTCTCTCTGCTGTTTTGTGTCCGCCTTCAGCTCATATCTAGTCTAATTGAACGTGCTGTCATCATATTGTGTGTGCGCATGCATGATTGTGTTTGTGTCTGTGAGCATGTGTGTGTATGTGTTTGTGTGCATATGTCTGTGTATGCACATTTGTGCATGTGTGTGTGTGTGTGTGCATGCATCTGCAGTGAAGTGTAAGTGTGTGTTGAATGTGTTCAGCATGAGTTTGTATGCACATATGTGTGTGTGTGTGTGTGTCTGTGTGTGTGCATGCATCTGCAGTGAAGTGTAAGTGTGTGTGTGTGTTGAATGTGTTCAGTATGAGTTTGTATGCACATATGTGTGTGTGTGTGTGTGTGTGTGTGTGCATGCATCTGCAGTGAAGTGTAAGTGTGTGTGTGTGTTGAATGTGTTCAGCATGAGTTTGTATGCACATATGTGTGTGTGTGTTTGTCTGTGTGTGTGCATGCATCTGCAGTGAAGTGTAAGTGTGTGTGTGTGTTGAATGTGTTCAGCATGAGTTTGTATGCACAAGTTTGTGTGTGTGTGTGTGTGTGTGTGTGTGTGTGTGTGTGTGTGTGTGTGTGTGTGCATGCATCTGCAGTGAAGTGTAAGTGTGTGTGTGTTGAATGTGTTCAACATGAATTTGTATGCACATATGTGTGTGTGTGTGTGTGTTTTCATTTGTGCGTATTTGTGTATGTGTGTGCATGCATGCATGTTTGAAAGTTTTTATGCATGTATGTGTGTGTGTGTGTGTTTGTGCGCATACATATGTGTGTGTGTATGTGTGTGAGTCTTTGTGCACGTGTATAGGTGTTTAAGCGTGTGTGTGTGTGTTTGTATGTGCATATATATGAGTGAGTGTTTGTGCGTATGCATGTTTGTGTGCGGTGTGTATGTGAGTGTTTTGTGTGCATTTGTGTGTGTGTGACTTTGTGTGCATGTATACGTTTAATGTACCCTTGTTTGTGCGCATGTGTGAGAGACTGTCAGCATGAGGAGTGTATGTGTGAGTGTTTGTGCACATTTGTGGCCATGCATGTTTGTGTGTGTGTGTGTGCATGCATCTGCAGTGAAGTGTAAGTGTGTGTTGAATGTTTTCAGCATGAGTTTGTATGCACATATATATGTGTGTGTGTGTGTGTGTGTGTGTGTGTGTGTGTGTGTCCATGTGCATATTTGTGCATGCATGCATTGAGTGTTTATATTCATGTGCGTGTGTGTTTGTGTCTGTGCGCATACATGTGTGTGTCTTTGTGCACGTGTGTATAGGTGTTTAAGTGTGTGTGTGTGTGTTTGTGTGTTTGTATGTGCATGTATATATGAGTGAGTGTTTGTGCGCAAACATGTTTATGTGTGGTGTGTATGTGAGTATTTTTGTGTGCATGTGTGTGTGTGTGACTGACTGTTCATAGTTTGTGCGCATACATGTATGAGAGACAGTCAGCAATGGAGTGTGTATGTATGTGTGTGTGTGCGTGGCTGTGCATGTGTGTCTGTGTCTGTGTGTGTTTGTGCGCATTTGTGGCCATGTATGTTTGTGTGTGTGTGCATGCATCTGCAGTGAAGTGTAAGTGTGTGTTTAATGTTTTCAGCATGAGTTTATATGCACGTGTGTGTGTGTGTGTGTGTGTGTGTGCGTGTGTGTGTGTGTGTGTGTGTGTGCATAGATGTGTGTGTATGTGTTTGTGTACATGTATCTGTGTGTGCATGCATGTTTGAGTGTGCGTGTTTGTATGTGCGTATGTATGTATGCAAGTGTTTGTGTACATCTATGTGTGTGTGTCTGTGTGTGTGAGACTGTGTGTGTGCATGTATATTTTGTATGTGTGTATGCTTGTCTGCAGTGGAGTGTGTGTGTGTGTGTATTAAGCATTATCAGTAGTCTCTGAGCTCCTTCACCCTGAACTTATGTGTGTGTGTGTGTGTGTGTGTTTGGTCTGCTGCAGCTCAGATTATATCAGTGTGGAGACAGAACGCTTCAGCTCCTCTAACAGCAGTGTGAACACACACACTTTCTCAGCGCCGCCGCTGCATTCACACACTCCTCGAGTCTCTCTGGTGTTTATGTGATGTTTATCTACACACTCGCGCTCCTCCATCTCATCTTCATCTCAGTGTTTCAGAAATCACACACTCAGATATATGATGTTGCACAATCGCCTCACACCAAGAAGGTCGCTGGTTCGAGTCCCGGCTGGGTCAGTTGG